ACTTAAAAAACACTTCGACACAAAATTTTAAGAATAGCAAACCTTAAAGGTCCTCAAATTAAAATTTATTATTGAATTTTAATATGAATTTTTTTTATTTCTTATCACTTTTTGACCAGTTTTCACTTTCAAACCGGTTTCGGTTTTATAATAATAATAATAATAATAATAATGGAAATTCTTACATACATATTCTATCACATGATTCACTCAAACTCTTAGAAACTCCAATTTCGCACAGGTTTGATATCAAAATTAAAATTTAAAATTTACTTTTGTATAATATTTTTCGAAATTTTCACCGATTCGGCAAATTTAAGTTAAATATTTAGCAAAAAATTAATTGAATTTAAAAATATTTTATTATTTACGTAGTGTAAATATATTTGATTTATTAATTATACTATGTTTCTTAATGTCATGTAGTACTCTTTTGTAGCCTGAGGTAGTTTTTAAACGAAAGATGTAAAAACTTGCGAAAAATTACTTTTAAACATTTTTTTTTACATTGGTTAATGTATAGCAATAATAGGTTAATTTAATATAACTGTCTAACAGTTATACTCCTATACCTAATGTGTTATACTTGAATTTTCTTATGAGTGTTATGTGGCCTTAAATGGCTAGTTGTATAACACAAAGCTACTTAATTAATCTTATTTTAATTGTAATTTTTTTATTAAAATCTTAGAATTCCCATTCGATTCACTTATTCTATCAATTCTTTGATTATGCGTCAAAAACCATAATCTTAACCTTTTAATTTTAAATTAAAATTAATTAGGACAATTAAAATTTCTTTTCTTATTTTTAATTTTAACTTACCATCCATTTTAGATGATTCTCATGAAATGTGTAGCTCTAATATTAATTCAAATAATCCTCACTTTTTAATTCCTTATTTTTTTGAACTCATATAATAAAATTTTCAAAATATTGTAACACACCAAATATTTTATAGATTAGAATCTTTTAAAGGAAACGCACAGAACTTTAATTCTATATGTTCCACAATAAAATTAATTTTAAATTCTACTCATTTTTATTATACTTAATGATAATAAATACAAAAAAAGAATTTTTAAAATATTTCTAGTTAGACATATAAACTTTATAATGGAAATTCAAATACAAAAATTTTAGGTACACACAAACACAAAAAAAAAAAATATCATACAAATGCACTTTTTATTTATAATAAAAATATTTAAAAGAAAAGGAAAGAAAGAATAAAAATAAAAAGGGAAAAGTAACAAAAAAAACAAAATATTGAACATGAAATGAGTTCCAAATAGGGTAGCTGCTGCTGCTGCTTTATATGGTTTCCCTTTTTTTTATAATTATATGTAGGTATATATTAATTTTATATATGTATGTAAGTAAGTATATATATCCATTTCTACTTTGAATTCTTCGTTACTATTTTATTTTATTCTCTTAGTATATTTGGTCTGGTAGTATTAAATTTCAATAAATAACAAGAACAAAAACGCAAAAAAAAAAAAATTAGAAACCGAAAAAATTTAAAAAAGATAAACTCCTTATTACTTATTTTTTATGTGAACATTAAAATATTAAAAAAAAAAAATACAACACGAATATAATTTCAAAATTTAATTTCACTAAACAAACTGTTATACAACCAACATTTTATTAAATTAAAACTGATGATGGTATCATTTGGTTTCGGATATTCATTATGACAATATGTAAATACTTATTTAGTATTATATACTTATAAGTATATGAACGTCATTAGTATTATTATAACTGTTATAATTTATAAAGTCAATTAAATTTTAGAATCCTCTATTCACTTTAATTTCTACAAAATAGTAATAAATTTGACATGATCCAAGTCGAACTGCTAGTAACAGAACTCTTCAAATTATTTAATAATTCCTTATACAATTATTACTTTATTTAGTAATCATTTACTACTATTTATTATTATTATATTTACGATCAAACTAAAATCATTTGAATATAATCGGGAACATTTTACGTTAACGTTTAATACGAGTATTTACAATAATTATAAAAACTTTTTTAACTTTTAAAATTTTCAAATCACTTAATAATGATATTAAAAATTTGATAATATTGTTTGTATACTTTTTAAGAAAAAAAAAACCAACACAATATAAGAGAAAAAAACATCAAATATTTATAATACTAAAATAAGTAAACAAGTCTCGAAAAAATAAACAAAAAAAAATTAAAACAAAATAGACAAAATTAATGTTTTTTTTTCTCTTTTCTTTATTTTTATATTTTTCTCACTTTTTTTGTTTTCTTAAAAAGACTTACTGAAATGTTAAAACATTACTGACTTGAGTGTCTCAAAAAAAACAGAAAACGTTAAAACAAGCTGGTCTGACTGACTGCCTGGCTCGCTGGCTGGCTGGCTGACTACAAGACACGAAGTAGTAGAAGAAGCAAAAGAGAAGAAAAATTTATAATCATAATTCCCTTTTCTTTTCTTTTTTACTTTAATTTTGTTTTTTTTTATTCTTTTCTGTTATACATATATTATTAAACTGAAATAAATTCAAGATAATGGAATGAAGAGGTATTGTATAAGTATATGTATATGTTTCAATTTATATATATATACAATTGTATACATAAATATAAAAAGTAATGTACATAAAATATTTATATGTATGTAGGTATGTACATGTACTTTATTTTTACTTCAAAACACAATTCACTGTAGAATTTTGTATACAAAAAATAATTGTATGTATGAATATGTATATAATAGATATCAGGAGTCATGACGTACAATAAAATTTAGGCTTTAATATCGAAAATAATATTGTCAAAGTTTAAATAAAATTGATTCCTCAGGGTATTGAGCTCCGGCTCCAGCACAATTTTTTTTTTGATTTGTAACTGTAGTGTTATATGCGTTCCTAATTGACTAATGAATGATATTGCAAATATTAAATAAAGAAAAATATAAAAATGTCAAGCGCAAACTCTATGTAAAAATTAGGTTGGTACTTAGAAAATACAGACTTCTACTCCAGTAGAAAGGATTATTTTTGTATAACAGAATTTCCACAAGTTTTCGATTTACAAATTATGTACTATGCTATTCGAAAAAATTTTTTAAATGAAATGCAACAACTGGACAGCTCTTTCAAAAAAAATTTTTTTCATTTAATGAAGCTCAAAATGTAATTTGAGGTTTATGTTCCATACGACACAGCACAAAGCTTTACTTACAAAAACAAGTTGTAATTATTATAAAAATTACAAATTTTACAAAAAAAAATTATAATTTTATAAAAATATGAGCTTATTGGAATTAAAATACACGCAAGTATTATTTAACACACGAAAGAGCAATAGATTTAAAGTTTTATACGTTTTATAACTGTTATACAAAAGTGTTATACATTTGGAACAACCAGAGAAACTTCAACTTCTACTTTTAAAAAATGCTTCTATAACATCCCGGAATGAAACCAATAATATCAATAGATTTCAACATCATAAATGATATCATGGACTGTATTTTTAGTATGCCGTGACATAGCATATACATATTCATGCCCATATTCACTTTTAAACCCTAAATGGAATATACGTAGCTACAAATATATTTTTAATACAAAAAAGTATAACACACTTCTTCAAACATATTTAACAAACACATCGCACGTAGGCATATACTTATGTATACTAAGTAATTTCAAGTTTTTTTTTTTTTATCTTTTTGGTAACAGCTGCTTATTTGAAACTGCACAACCAAGTATATACAACCAAGTATACAACCATTAACATATACATATATAATATGTATACGTTACCCAACTTACTATTCATCAAAAATTTCATATAATATCTAAAAATACACATCCATTCAAATATAATTGTATTAAAATAAAAATAAATATATGTTATACAGAATATAAGTGTTATACCAACGCTTTTATAACCAGTTAAGTTTTGAAGTTAATAACAACAAAAAAATAATAAAAATAAATTTCCAACGAAAGAGGAAAAGCAAAAAAAAAAAAAATATCTACTACTTCCCACATTTCAAAAACGATAAAAATACACATAAAATTTTTCGATATTCTTTCATTTACATATTTCTTCTTCTCTTTTTCTTTGCTTTGTTCTTTATATTCTTATTTCTTTACTAAATTTATATTGCACCAGTAATATGTTTTTCTGATATTCTTTCATCTATTTTTTTCTTTTATCTCTCTCTCTCTCTCTCTCTCTATTTCTCGTTTTATCATTTTTGGACAGTATGAAAAATATTCTCATAAAATGCATTACACAAACACATATGCAAGCATTTATCTTATATATTTTTAAGTGTAAAATATAAAAAAAAAAAAAAAATAGAAAAAAGCAATGTGAAGAAGATTAAAAGGAAAGAGAAAATTTCAAATGAAAATGAAGCAATAAATATACAAAATTTTTGTTGTACATTGTAATTTTTTAATATAAAAATTTAGTATAACAGAACAGCATAAATGGTATATGATTCAATAAAACATAGGGAGAATTTACACGCAAGTAGAAGAATATTGTATGCAATGGCAGTATATAAAAGTTACAAAATAAAAGAAGAAACAGAAGAACAAAGCAAAAATTACAAGAACCAGTATTATTAGTGAGTTACACGAAAGTAGGAATATTATATGAAAAGGGAATAAATAAAAAAAATATATAAAAGAAGGGTAAATAAAGCAATATAAAAAAAGGAAGGAAAGTAAAAAGAGATATAGAAACAAAAAATCGAAAAAAAAAATTTAATTTATAATACTGTCAAATTCAATGGGTGGTTTATTGTTATATATTTATATCTATGTATATATATATAGGTTGCGTATATGAAATATAATCTTGGGTATGTTCGTTTTTTTTTGTCTGTTCTATTGTGCTATGTTTTATATTTTATATAATAGAATATCTCTGAATATATTTTGATCAAAAGTTGAGTTTTTTTTTTTTTCAAATAAAACTTCTCTTACCAATTTTTTTGTTGATATTCTCTTCGTTAAAACTTTTTTTTGTAATCCATTTAAGTTTGTGTATGTGGTTGTTGATTGTTTTCCTTGCGTATGTATTGTACTTTTATTTTAATATCCATTATATCAAAAAAAAAAAAAAACTTGAAGGTTTATTCAATAGTACCCTATTGTTGTTTGTTTATATAAAACAGAATTTTAAAAAAAAAATTTTTTTTCTTATAATTTTCTTTTTCTCTTGCATTCTCTTTTTGTTCTCTCTTTCAATATTCCTTTTTTTGATTTATTAAGTTTAAGTTTACATGCATATACGAATATTGTTATATTTGAGTATATCTTTTATTTATATATATATTTATGTATATTTGAGTGTGAATTTTGTTAATTAAACAAATTTCTGTTTTTTTTTTTATTTTATTTTATAAACAGTAATTACTCTTTTTTATTTTATTTTTTTTCTCCAAAATGAATTTTTTTTTTGCATAATAATCTGTTATATAATATATATTTAATTTTAAAACCAAAAAAAAAAAAATAATTACAATTTTTTTTCTCTCTTTTTACAAATTCACAATTATTTTTACACAAAAATTCTAATTCAAAATAATTTTTAATTTCACTTAATCAATTATTATACAAAATTTTTTCTTATTATTAATTTTCGAAATTCAATATTTAAATATAATTTTTAGTGCCAAAAATTCTTAGATTATTCCGACTATTATACTCGGATATTTCATATAAAAAAAAAAAACAAAAGTGTTGTAAATAATAATTAATACGGTATGCGTTCATCCCGACGGAAAAACATAATAAACCAGTATAATATTAATTTCAATTATTACACATTCAATCTCTAAATGTATTCGTATAAATATAAATACATACACATCAAAATTTTACAGGTAAAGTATGTATTTTTTTTTCTGCATAAATAATACAAAAAAAAAAAATATATTTTAATATTTTTGTAAAATTTCCGCTTTTAACAACTTATTCAAACGATTGCTCTCAAAATACTGAATACAGTTATTTTATGTTAAAAATAAAAACCATTCATTTCACTTTAATACAAAAATATACAACTACATACTTAAATTTGAAAATATATAACAAATGTTCAAAATTCAATATATCTTGCATATTAAATATAATAGCCGCAAGTATATAAATGAGTATACCCCTTACTTTGAATTTTATATATTAAATGTATATAAGAATAATTTATTTATTTTCTGATATTCACTAGTGTGTATGTGTGTATATTTTGTAAAATATACTTATTTGCGTATTTATGACGAGTGTAAAATAAAATAATCTGTATATATCAAATACTTGCGTTTAAATAAAATTATTAAAAAAAGAAAAACAAACAAGAATTTTTTTTTTTTTTTGTGATATTCAAATGAGACATACATACTATATATATTATGGATTTTATAGTTATCACATATTTTCTTTTATACTCCGGCACAACATAAAATTATAATAATACTCTTGCCTTTTTTTTTATCTACACTACTATTTCTTTATTCGCTCATCACAAACTATACGTTATGTATACAAATCCAATACATTCATTGCATTTACTGCTTGAGCGTCGCTCTCTCTCTTTAAAATTAAAATTTTATTTTATTTTTCTCATATTTTATAATAAAATATATAAATAGACTCTTGTCTTTTTTTTTTTTTTTACTCATATGATGGTACCACTTGGTACTGCACAAAACATTATTATTTTAAGTGAATATGAGAAATGAGAATATTTTGTTTTGTCGTATTTGTATATACTTAAATTTTTTTTTTCTCTTTTTCCTTTTTTGTTTACGGAAAGTTTTTAAATTTTTAATATTTAATATATATAGCTACATACATATATACATTAGTATTGTATTTATATTTGATATACGCTCATTTTATATACTTTAGCATTTTTACATAGAGCACTGTTTACTCTTTTAGTTTTGTTGTTTTACTATACTTACTGCTTATATGAATTCAACAAAAAGAAGAGAATAACAGAATATATAACATGGACACTCATTTTACTCTCTTATTTTCTAAGCCAATTCCATTCTTACTGTTTTGTTTAGTTTCGTACGAGAAATCAGAGATATTTTTTTTTTTTAAATTAAATTTTTATTTCCTAACAAATTAAAAAATAATTTTAGAAAAATTTTCATAAAATAATGAATTAAATTAAATAATGAATTTTGAATTAAATTTTCTTCTAAATATAAAACTGTTATATGAGACTCATTATTTTTTCCCATAAGAATACGCATAGTACCCACAATCATACATACATTTTTTGTTTCTTGAGTAATATAGTACCCGAATTAACTCTCATTGTTTTCTGTATGTCATAGCTTCTCTAAGTATATTTTTTGAATTTTGATGTGTGATATAATGTTATGTTAATTTTATTTTATAAAAATAATATTATTATACATAATTAACTTTTGAGTTTGTAATATAATGTATACTATCTATGTTTGTGTTTAATTAGTAAATTTCTATATACACAGTCGTGCATAATATCGCATATAAAATAATTATATGGAGAGAAGATCAACATAAAATTATTAAATGTACCCTATATACATACATACATACAAAAAAAAATTATAGGTATTCAAAATAAGTTAAGCATAAAAAAAAAGTTGGTAATACAAGTACATTATGTACACATTTTGTTATAAACATTTTAGAGAGGAGCAGATGAAAGAATAATAACCTACATTTGCACATACAAAAATGCAAACATACTTATGTATATTTTTACATAATAGAGTAGAATATTTAAGGAAATATATTTATATGTACCTGCGTATGTATATTTATAAATGCATATAACATTTATTTGGTACAGTATATTTTAAACATACACACACATTAACACAAAAATTATATTTTGAACAATATTCATAATATCGTAAGTTTTAAAAGTAAAATTAAGGGGTTAATGTCGTTTCTTGATGATGCTCAAAATAAAAAATAACACATTATATAAGTATGTATGTATGTACATACTAGATATAATAAAAAAAAACATTAAAAAAAAAAAAGAAATCATAATCAAAAATAAAAATTTTATTGTTCCCGAGAAGCAGGGAGGAACTGAAAATGAATGGCAACAAAATAAAAATGTTTTCTTTTTCTCACATTTTTATTATTTTCACAGCTTTAAAAATCATAACTGTAAATCTGTAGTGTAATATTTATTCAGTTCTCTTCTCCTTGCGACATCAAACTGAATAGAGTAAGTATTCATAATCGCATTTCATTTTTTAAATTTTTTAAGGTTATAGCAATATTTTTTCTTTTAAATTGTACATGAGTATGTATGTATATACAAAGTACATATGTAGGTACCTTTTTTTTAACCAAAGGATTTAAACTGAATTACTATTACGAAAATATATGTATTTTCTTTGGATATAAATCACATGTATACAACAATTTCCTAAGACAAGATCCCTTCACTTTCCTTTAAAGATATTTTTTCTGATAAATCAACAGTAGTAACGTAAAAATATACACATAATATACTATACAGCGTACATATATACATACCCACAAATATACATGTATTATAATGTATAGGTACATATATAAATATATACTGTGTATATAAAATTGTTAAAATGCATAACGCATTAAAATAAAATCTAAAGGTACGTAAGTATGTTCATATGAACAAATATATGCGTAAATTATATTAAGAGTTATAAGGTAATAACAAAATTTTATTGCAATCAAATTTTTATGTCATATGAATATACTAAAATGTGTAAAATTAGAACGAATCTCGAAACTCCTAACTGTAGTATTTAAAATTTTAAATACGGATGCGACTCCAACAATTAGGAAATTACATTTTCTCGATTCTTTGTGTATATAATCGCAATCGATATCATACATGTATGAAAGACGCAATCAATATCATACATTTATTTTAATTATAGTCAGTATATCTGGGAAGTTAATATTTGGTAGAGCTATAACAAATTTTTGTGGTCCATCAAAAGAACGACTTGTTTAACGCTCCACATATTATGATGATATTGCTAATATAAGAATATTAAACAAGTAACTTGGATGTATGATTTAGAGTGAATAGCTAAGTTCATACTTAGCTCCGAACATTCCGATATTAAATTTTTTTCAATTATTTTACAGTTTCCAGTGAGTTCAAAACGATATTAATTCGCCTTTTATGTTTTAGAATTGTTTGAAAAGTGAAAACAACTGTTCAACGCCCATTCATTGTATATTTTACCTTATTTATTTTGTATGATTTTCGTTATTCTCTTAGTTCGGCAATCTCTTAGTTATTTCATTTCGTATTTAAAAAAAAAATTTATTTTTTGTTTGTCTCATTTTCTATTCTTTTTTCTTTTCTTTTTCGGAATAAATTTGAAACTTGTAAAACTTATAAACAAAAAAAAAAAGAAAGAAAACAAAAAAAAAATAAAAGAAAATATCAAAAAACATCGTCTGTCTGTTGTGTACACATTTTTTTTTCCTTTTCCTTGCATGATAGGTAGGTAGAGTAGGTACGAGTAAAAAAAAATAATGTGTTTTTTTTTCTCTTTTCTGCTTCTTTTTCCTCTTTAATTTTTGTTGCTTTCAGTTGATTTTTTTCTTTTCGTTTTTTTTCCTTTTTTTTGTTAAAAAAAAATGTTGTACCAAATAAACCCTCCAGTAGAATTATTATTTTTTTGCTTTTTAACTATATACACACATACCTATTTGCCTGTATGTATGTATCTAACATTATAATAAAATTCACTTGGAATGAAAATATTCAGTCCAAAACCAAGTTTGGAATCTGCAGATAGAAGAAAAACAATAACAACAACAACAATAACGACAACAGTACAAGAGCAGCAATAACAATAATAAATGAAAATAATATAAAATAAGAATAAAAATAACAAAAGAGAATAATAAAACAAAATAAAAAATAATAAGAAAAAGCAAAGAAATGCATAACTAAAGCATTTGACTGAACTAAATTTTGAATTGATGAATACAAAAAGTTGAGTTGTATTTTGTGTTGTGTTACTGTTGTTGTTGTTATTGCCACTGCTATGTTAATGCTCAGTTTATCGCTCTGTTGCTATTGCTTTTGCTGTTATTAAATTCATTTCTTTATTTATTTTTTCTTTATTAATTTTTCTTCGTTTTTGTTATTTCCATTTGGGTCGGATACGAATTATAAAATGTTGTATGCATGTTTGTATATATGTATGTACATCTTTTTATATAGAAATATCCGAGTATATCAGTGCTTTTAAAACTTTATGTCACCTGAATGGTAAGACTAAGTTGGTATTGTTCGAACATAAATTTAAAGTATTGCTGGAATCTTGCATG